CTGCTGGGCTGCACTCTTGGCCGCCTGCGTGCTGTGCTGCAGCTGCACGCGTGCACAGGGCATTTATTGGCAACATTAATCGGCCACATCAGCCAAAAAAGGCTGATTGCCAATACTGACAATTTTCCTTATATTGGTTCCAATCCAATATGGGACTGATGTATCAGTGTATCTCTACCTGCCACCACTTTCCCATGTCCAGTTCCTCTTCGTCGGTCCTTGCACTCTGCCTTCCCCTTGTCCTCTCTGATCTTGGAGATCTTCTGGAGAACCAATAGCCAGGATTCTCCCTAGGATCACAAAATTGGCTTCAATAGTAGTATTGCTGAAATGGCCGTGAGGCTGAGTCAGGGAAACACAGAACAAAATTACTTCCTTACAATGTCACACCCAGTATAAACCAGGAGACGGATATAGGCAGACGGGCTACAAGGAAACACAGAGATAATGTTAGTCGGCAAGATAGGGAGAGGCTAGCCAGTTCCTGCCTAATCTACAGTTCTAGTCCATAGGGACAATAATTCCCATGTAGTTAATTTTCCTGGAAAATGCCACACATGAGAAGTACCTTGTACTGAATGTGTAAAAAGTCACCTCTGGAAGCAATGCTAGGAGCTTTGCAAGCTTACTGCTGCTGGGAATCTATGGGTCAAAGGTCAGTGACGGTGGGTTACGGGGAGAGAGAATCCTCATGTAATTTCTGATTAAGTAGCATATAATCCTTCACTTTAAAAATTCCTAAATAAATTGTCCAGCTACCACAGTTCAAATAGCCAAGTCAAAATGGGAACAGAAGAGGATTTTGAATACAGCTCTAGACTTAATTTCAGCTCTTAAGCCTCAAGCAAAATCTCTTTAATCTTTAGAATTCATACAGCTAATTTTAAGATGCTACTGGTAACACTGTGATTCATCAGGTGAACAAATATGCATGTAAATTAATAGTCTGACTCATTTACTGCATATGTCACAGTCATATCTCCCAGTGGAGTACATATAGTGAAACACGCTGCAGAACAAATTTCAAAAGAACATCTCTACAGACAAGTCAGTCAAACACAAACTGTAAGTATTAACCATAATCTATGAATTCCATCTAATGAAAGCAGATTCATTAGATGCTGAAACGACCAAAGTTTAAAACAATTAAGTGGTACCAAATAACTTAGAGGAATATCAAACTCAATTGACTAAAAAAGTCATCTAACAATCTGGAATAAAATCATTGGGTCATTTTAAGGATTTTATAATGTTAAGTAGCTATGAATGTTGGTATCTCCTTTCAAAAGAAAAGCTTAAGAATGTGAACTAATAGCTTAGTTACTGTAAGATCATCTTAGTATTCCAGTGCTGGAATATAAAACATTATGCCACCAGGCTGTTTAGCTAAGATCAGATACGGATCAGGTTTGAAGAGCATAAATCCCTCTGGCAGCCTGCTTGTAGATGTGTGTCAGACAGAGCCTGGCCCACATGGCATCCGCTGGTTTGTGAAAGAGGGAGATAGAGAATTGACAAATTTCAGCATTTCAGAAAAATCTCTTTATTAAACACCCACTGTGTATCATTCTTTGATGGATAAGCACGCTTCTCACAGCTCGGTGGGATTTAGCTTCTCCCAATTCACCTTGCCTCATCACCTACCAAGGATAATGCTAAAGGTCTGATTCAGCTACTACTCACTTCAATGACAGTGCAGGCCAGATTTATCCCTGATATAGCTCCTTCAAAGGCAAAGCAATTAGACTTACTACAAGGACCAATTTGCCCATGTTCATTTTCCCCCCTATACTGTAACAATGAATACAATCTCATTAAAAGACCTGCATAACTGCACATTACATTAATACTGGGAAACTAATTTCAATAAAGCAGTTCTGAAAAACAGGCTGGTTTATTTTTAATTATTTTTCAGGCTGATTTCCCAGTCTCTCCAGTGAATTTTATCAGCCCGTTTATCCAGTTCCTTTTAGTAGAGCCCATCCTGTACAGCACTGGTCTTGTGACCGCACCAGACCCTGAACTGACATACATTTGATCATTTTAAGGGTCAGAACTTGCCTTCAAAGTACAGCCTAAAGCTCAGTGACAAGACTTTTGTGAGGTTTTATAACATGTCATTCCTGTACAACCACCCATGGACAGCATCTTGGCAATTAAGTAAGACCAGCATGAGTTTTCAGTAGAGTTTGCAATGCACCAAATACAGCCAGTCAGCACACATCATGTCCTATACTTACTTAACCTTCTCTTACCCCCACTTCCAGTAACTCCTGACTGGAGGGCCTGAACCTATTCAGCCTCCACAAGAGAAGGCTGAGAGGGGATTTGGTGGTCATTTACAAACTCACCAGGGGGGACCAGCAGAAATTGGGGGAGGCTCTGTTCCCCTGGGCACCACCCGAGGTTACTAGGAATAACGGCCACAAATTGTTAGAGAGAAGGTTCAGGCTGGACATCCGGAGACATTACTTTACAGTTAGGGCTGCCAGGCTCTGGAATGGGCTCCCAAGTGAGGCGGTGCTCCCTCCTACCTTGGGGGTCTTCAAGGGGAGGCTGGACAGATATTTGGCTGGGGTGATATGACCCTGGCACCTGTTCCTGCCCGGGGCAGGGGGTCGGACCTGGTGATCTGTTTAGGCCCCTTCAGGCCCTAAGCACTATGATATTGACACTTTCCAAGTTATCACAACTCTCGGGAGATGATTTAGAATAATAGAAAAGACCTGTCAAAATAATTTGATATCCTTTAGAAATAGGGACTTGAGTCAGCTGCTTGAACACTCCTATGAACTAACTTGTGAGCAATGCAGAGGTAATTTGTTCACGAGACATCTGCCCTTGAATGTTCAGTAACAGCCTTTTGCACCCAGTCAGTTCTGTAACTCTGTCACACCTAGGACAAATCAAATGCAATTCAACCCTGATGTAAGTGCATACAAGAGCATCTTCTTACCAATACCATCATTATATTTTAGAGATGAAGAAACCCCTGTAAAATAAAAGCAATGGCCTAACTCATCCAAAGGGAAAGTCATGTAACTATAAGGTGGGAAAGACCCCTTAGGTTTTCTGCCCTATCATCCTTCTAATCCAAGTTCGTTCTTTACTACATAACCTTCTGTAGAATCAGGGGATGAAAGGTAATCTGATCCCTGCCTTCTAAAGGGCCCTTTTTAAATTGCCATAAACCCCAGTCTCTAATTTTGAACTCCCAAATTTTGAGGTACAGTTTTGCGTACCTTCTCCTGCAGAACTTGGATTAGCATAGGGTCACAGGGC